ATCTAATTCTATTCCATATAACTTCAATAGTACCATAATATTCAATTTTATTTGTAATATCAACAACTCTAAATCCTAAAAGGAAATTCTTCAATTTTTTGTGATAATAAAAAATCAATAAGTTACATTACTTAAATATTACTCCCTCCATATTAGAATAATAGATTTTTTTTTATTTTATCTTCAAATGAAAGATTTGAAAACAATTTTTATCTTTATCTATTTTATACTTAAAAAAAAAAGAATAAATATCTACTTCTATCATATTATAAATAATTAAAGTTAAGAGATAATTATAAGATTAAAGTAGAAAAAAAACTATTTATCTTCCTCAAAATAAAAAAAATGACTATTATTCTAGGATATATTCTAAATAAAAAATATCAATTATTTTATGATATAGAGAGTATACTAATTTTTTTATTAGATCATATCTACTAACAAGTATAAAATAAAATTTTAAAATAAAATAAAAAAAAAAACTTACAAAACTTGAAAGTTGAAATCCAATATGACAATATATAATTCATATAAAAAGAGATAGTATTGTTTTTAGTTTTTACCAAAAAGTTAATGGTCCCTTTGGTGATCCCTTAATTTGTCTTCAAGCTTTCAATGAGAAGAACAGTGTTACAGTGACTTACCTCGAGTTGCCCGTGGAGTCTCTTTTTTTTTTTTTTTTTTGAAGTTGTTGGGTTGAAGTTGATTAGTTGAAGGAGATTGACACTGGGATAATGGGGGTGGATACTGGAGAAATAGCATATAAGACACAAGAATTGGTTTTTCTTCTTTTTTCTACAAAATTCAATTGTGGGCCTTGAGATGAGTGGGTTTTAAATAATAATAAATTGTTCAATTGTTAAAATAAATAATTGATTATATAAATTATATTTGGGCTCTTAAATAGTCCATTATTATTGGATGTTTTTTGTTTTATGTATTTTAACAATTAAAAATATAATATTTAAAATTTTAATAATAATAATGAATAAATTAATTATATATATTTCAAATCCTAGGGGGGGGGCCAACGCCCCCTTGGTCTCTAAGTGGCTTCCCCACTGGGTGTGTTGGTGATGTAAGTTGATGAGTCAACAACGGTGATGATGTGGAGGTTGATTAAGATGACACCCGAGAAAATGAGGAGGGTCCTTTTGGCAACACCTATTTCACGTGCGGGGGGCTACATGCCACTAGCCATCTTGTTCTGGCCGAGGATGTTGGCCGGCAACAAATCTCCAATAGTGTTTGAAATTGTGGATTTCCTAGCCAAGTTGGGAAGAAGGGAATTGAGCAACAACGGTGGGATTTCAAGAGCTTAAAAGGATTACACAACTACCAAAAGAGTAGGAAGAAAGTGAACCATCGTAACAAGAGCAACAAGGACAGAAGATACATGAGGATCAAAGGTTATAACTCGAGAAGCACATTTATACATAAAATATTGTGATATAATAATAGTGACAATAAATGTCCCCTCTATCATCTGTAGTAAATATCTTTACTCTATATTGAACAGCTCTTATATTGCAAATGGAAGATACAACAATCCCTCTTTTGAAACTTTCTCAAGAACAAAAAGAATAAATTTGAAAGTAGTGATGGGAGAAGGAAGGATGGCCGCTTGGGGGCTTGTGAGTGGAATGCCTGATCCCATTTTTTAAGCTAACCTTGCATCTTCATCTTTTGATGCTCAAGAAAAATTACCCAGAAATTGAAACTAAAACATGCTGCCTTCCAGCCATAACATGTTGCAAGTCTGAAAATTGTTCTACAGTGTTAAGGGTGCAGAAAATATGAAGAAAGTGGTGATTTTTGGTGACTTTGGCATGTAGGGTGAGAGGTTGAAGGTGGGGGATTTTTTAGAGGAAGAATGGAAGTCTCGTGCATGGGAAAGGAAGGTCAAAATCATGAAAAATTGTTCTCTTCCTCAAAAAAATGAAGGAAAAAAAAATATATATATAGGTGCAATGGTATTTTTGTAATTTTTGAGTTAATGGGCCAAAGGTGTTCAGTGGTTATTGAGTAGATTGGGGTGAGTTGTCTAGCTTTTAATGGCTCTAGACACTACTGACAGCTTTTTGGTTGTGATATCATGAATTACGTAGTGGTTCCAACGAAACTTTGTTGGTTCTAGCAATGGACTGAAAGTTGCCTATTTTTGAGGATTCCTCTAGCTATAAAAAATTCCATTTTTGGGGAGGTGCTTGAGTGCAATCAGCAAAAATAACACTTGCATAGAATTTTGGTAAATTTCCCAAGATCTGTATAAGATTATGGAAGATTTTCCAAGCAAAAAGTAATCTTTTTGAGCAGTTTCTAAGGCCATGGAATTTGTGCGACCACCCTTATATTAAATATAGTTGCAACTTGATGATGATGATAAAAATAGCATCTTTGGTTACTCTTTTAACGAGATTTTAAGCATCTAGTTAGCATCAAAGGGTATTGTTTTGGGAATCAAGTCCACTTTCATGTCTTCGCCACCCAACTCTTTCTAGCGAAGTTAGGCAACATTGCCAACACCAAGCTTCACTGGTGCAAATGCCTTATTTCACTAAATGGATAGTGTTCACTCATCCATGCCTGCCAAGCTACTACTCCTATAGTTTATCTCGAGTAATTCCCATGAGTTTGGATTCATGGGCTTGTGTTTATCTGCAATGAGAGCAAGATACAAATGAGTATATATTCAAATATTTAAGTTTAAAGTGTATGGATATATGTAGCAAAGAAAGGTACTCCCTTGTGTGTTAAAGGGGACGATGGGGATGAATGTTTGTTGCACTCTTTTGCTTGTTGACCTTGGTGAGCATCGGTATATCACTGCTGTATATGGCTGGCATTGTGCAAGAGTAAAGAATAAGTTATATGGATGTGTGCTGTGATATCGTTATCCTGAGCCAAGCATCATTGGTCGGTGATACCCACTAACACGTACAATTTGAAAGATATATGTTATGAGTTGGGATTACTAACTACCAGTAATTTTGTCCTTTTGTATGAAAGGATAATGATATGCATAGCTGCCAGCCATGTAAATATTGCAAGGTTAACCATGAATAGCTTCTTCATAGCTAGAGGGATAATAGTGGCTAACTTTGGTCGTGGTTGAAGTGTGAACTATATGGAATTGGAAGAGCATTCCCACTAATTTGCCAAGTCGCAAAGGGGTAAATCTCGCTAAGCTAGATTCTACCATAGTGATGAATATGTGGTAGAGAGAGGTGGAGTTGTCTCTATGGAAGGGGGACATCAACCACATCCATGGCCTCCGATACAATAAGCTATGATACCATTGACAAATGTTGGCCCTTTTTATCATACACGCATCGTCAGAGGGTGGTCCTAGTTGTTGTTGCCACCCGGCACCGCATCACCATGCATGGGTGACCACTAAGGGACTGTCAGCCGCTACTTGATGGATTTTATCACAGGAGGGTAGCCATCTTGTCTGATTGTAGGGTTGCAACTGTTACTAGCCTCACGTTAATTGTACCGAGTTGCATTGACTTTTTGTTCGTTTTCAAGAACTAGTGAGATAGAATATGTAGAGATTCGACCCTTTGTTCATTGCCGAGAGTCGGTGTAATGAAGATATTTAGAAACATGTAGCCTTTTACCCATTGTTGGAGGCTAAATGAGATAATGAATCTAGTCTTTTGTCCATCGCCGAGGGCTATGTAGATGTGGCCCATTGTCTATTGATGGGAGCCATGTATGTGTGGCAAAGTCGGCTCTTTATCCATTGCTAGGAGTCACAAGATGAAGCAGTGAAAGGATATCCACTGGGTAGCAAAAAATGCAGAAGGTATGTCGGGTGGAATTCTTTGTGTATGGAACCCTAGCACCCTTAAAAAAAAGAGAGTATTGGAAGGGGAGTACTGTATAGGTATTGAAGGGGTGTGCGGAACAGAGGAGGTCCCTGTGTGCATAATTAATGTGTATTCACCTTGCCAAATAACGGGTAAAAGAGCACTGTGGACGGAATTGAAGAATATGGTGACATGAGGGGGGAGTATGTGGTGTGTTGTGGGGGATTTTAATGCTATATGGAGAATTGAGGAAAGGTGGGGATGTAAAAGTGTGTCAACTGAAATGAGAGAGTTTGATTGTTTTATTCAAGAAACTAAATTGATTGACCTTCCCCTTGCTGATAGGAAGTTCATCTGGTACCACTCAAATGGGAATCAAATGAGTAGAATTGATAAATTCTTATTGTCTGAAGGATGGCTTTCAAAATGGTGCGACACTAAACAGTGGGGATTAACCAGAACAGTATCAGACCATTGTCCAATAATGCTGAAAGTCAATAAAATGAATTGGGGACCCAAGCCATTCAAGTTCTTTGATGCTTGGCTCGATGACCAAGGGTGTAGAGAGTTGATTTCGGAGGTCTGGAACAATGAAAAAACCCAAGGGTGGGCAGGATTCAAGCTAAAAGAAAAGCTGAAGGCAACTAAAAATGCCCTACGGGAATGGAGTAGAAATTTTGTTGAACAAGTGGATGCCAAAATAAACTCTTCTAGAGTGGTGATTGAACAACTTGATTTGAAGGGTGAACAAGGCCAGCTCACGGAAGAGGAAATTAACAAAAGAAAGGAGGCACTCCTAGATATATGGAAAAATATGAATACCAAAGAGAGAATGGCACAACAGAAGTCAAGGAAAACTTGGTTGGTTAATGGGGATGCAAACACCAAGTTCTTCCACAATTGTGTCAAAGGCAAATGGAGAATCACAAAAATGAATAGCATACAAATCAAAGACTCTCAACTGGTTGAGCCTACCATAATGAAAGAGGAAATTGCAAATTTCTTTGAAAACATGTTCAAAGAGGAGAACTGCGAAAGACCAAAACTGGAGGGCATCAGTTTTCAGCAGATAACAGAGCAAGAAAATGCATCACTTGTAGCTCCATTTTCAGAAGATGAGATCAAAGCAGCAGTATGGGATTGTGAATGCTCAAAAGCACTGGGTCCAGACGGGTTTAATTTCAGATTTTTTAGAAGGGAGTGGGAGACAATCAAAGGAGATGTGATAGGATTCATAAAGGAGTTTCAAGAAAAAGGAAAGCTGGTCAGAGGGCTGAATTCCTCATTTATTGTCTTGGTGCCAAAAGTGAATAATCCACAAAGGATAGAAGAATACAGGCCCATATCCCTTATTGGTGATGTGTACAAGATCCTTGGCAAACTATTAGCCAATCGACTAAAAAAAGTACTCGATCAAGTGATTGGCAAGCAGCAAATGGCATTCATAAGTGGAAGACAACTAATGGATGGGGTTGTGATAGAAAATGAGGTAGTAGACGAAGCGAAGAAGAAGAAAAGGAAGAGCTTCCTATTTAAGATTGATTTCGAGAAGGCTTATGACAAAGTGTGTTGGAAGTTCCTTGATTGTATGATGCAGAAGCTGGGGTTCTGCGCTACTTGGAGAAGGTGGATCATGGAGTGCTTGAGAACTAGCCAAGTTTCAGTGTTGGTGAATGGCAGCCCTACTAGACAGGGAGATCCCCTATCTCCTTTTCTGTTCTTGATTGTTGTAGAGGGATTAAATGGGATGATTACCACGGCTGTGCAGAAGGGACTACTGGAGGGTGTGGAGGTAGGATCCAAAGGATTCAAGGTATCGCACCTACAATTTGCAGACGATACAATACTTTTTGGCTCTGCAACGAAGCAAAATGTCTGGGCAATGAAAGGCATTATGAGATCATTTGAGCTTGTTTCGGGCTTGAAGGTTAATTTCAAAAAAAGTCAACTCATGGGTATTGCGGTGAATGAGGAGTGGCTTGACAAAATGGCATGGGTGTTATGCTGCAGAAAAGGTAATTTCCCATTTAAATACCTTGGAGTCCCTATTGGTGGAAGTCATAGAAAGCTGCATTTTTGGAAGCCATTGGTGGATGTTTTCTCAAAAAAACTGTCTGCATGGAAAGGCCGATTCTTATCTCTTGGTGGAAAGATAACTCTTCTTAACTCAGTGCTGTCTAGCTTGCCCGTATTCTGGATGTCGATGTACTGGATCCCATCAGGTACGATTCTTGCCTTAGATAAAATTAGAAGATGTTTCCTGTGGGGAGGGGCTGAGAAGGGGAAAAAAATTAGATGGGTGAGC